AAATGGCATAAGAGAGCAAAAGGATGATAAAGAGGAGGGCAGATTGGGGGAGGGGGTAATCAGAAGCAAACACTTCCAAGGAGGGACAGGGTCAAAAAAGAGAATAGAATAAATGGGGGGGATGGTTGGGATAGGATGAAGTGAAATATAGTTAGGTTTTCACAACATGACAACTATGGAAGTGTTTTGCATGACTACACATGTATAACCTATCTCGAGTTGCTTGCCTTCTCAATGAGAAGGAAGGGAGAAAATTTGAAACCCAAAGTTTTAAAAACAAATGTAAAAATTGTTTTCACATGCAACTGAGAAATAAGATATACAGGCATTGGGGTATAGAAATCTATCCTGCCCTACAGGAAAATATAAGCGGAAGGGGATAAGAGAAGGGAGGGGGATAGAAGGGAAGGCAGATTAGGGGAAGGGGTATTCAGAAAACATGCTGTCTTGGGGTAGGGGGAGGGACGAGATGGGAAGACAATCTTGTGGAGGTGAATGTTGAAAACTAAAAATAAATTAATTAATTTAAAAAAAACAAATATGGATGGTTAAGCAAAACAAATTCCCTCATTGGTCTTGTCCAAAAAGATATATGTCTCATACCCTGAATCCATCAGTTCTGTCTAAGGGTGGGTAGAATGCTTCACAATAGCACCTCTGGAATCTTAGATAGTCAGTGCTATCCTACCACCTGCTTTTTAAGCAGTTAAAGGTAAAATCATAGACATTTAGCAAAGGATTGTAGCATTTAGAGCTTGAAGAGACTGTGGAGATCCTCTCATATAATACTCTCATTTTATTGATTAGGAAATAAGAGACATAGTGTCCCAGGACTTGGGCAGGGATAATCTTATTGTACTTTCTTCTCTGGTGGACCACCTCTGGAATGTTGTGTTAAGCTCTGGGTCCCACATTTTAAGGAAGTGGACTGATAAATTGAACAGCATACAGAAGACAGTGAGGGTAGTAAAGGAGCTTAAGCTCATGACACATGAGGACTGATAGAAGTTAGGATGGTTTGCCTGAAAGAGAACACTTCACAGGGATATGGTAGCTGTCTTCAAATATTCTAAGGGTTCCCATTTAAATAGGGAAGGAGGATCAGACCTTTTTTAATTGGTGTCAGAGGAAAAACTAGGAGCAATGCATAGAAGTTGCTGAGCAGCAACTTTGGATTTGGCAAACAGAAAAGCTTCCTAACAATTAGAGCTATCAAAAAACGGAAGATGCTGCCTGGGCACTTATTGGATCCCCCTAATTGGACATTTGGAAGCAAAAGTTAAGAAACCACCAAACACCTATGTTATAAGGGGAGTAAGCAAGGTGGCCCAATGGGTAAATAGTTGAACCTGGAGTCTTTAAAATCTAGCCTTAGACATTTACTAGCTATGTGACTCTGGGCAAGTCACTTAACCATTGTTTGCCTCAGTTCCCTTATCTATAACGTGGAAGTCCTCACTACCAGAGTGAGATAATATTTTCAAAGCACTGTGTACACCTTAACATGCTATATAGATGCTGACTATTGGAGGGAATTCTTGCTCAGGTGGAAGTTGGACTGGATGATTCCTGAGGTCCCTTAAAACTGTGAGATCACATAATCATAGATTTAGAATTAGAAGAGACTTTATAGAGGTCATCTAGTCCAACACCCTTATTTTACAGATGAGGTAACTGAGGCCCACAGAAATGGATTATCTTGTCCAAGATTGCACAGGTATTATCTGTGACTGTGTGGGTTGAGGTATAGAAAGGGGAATTGTCTTGCGCATCAATCAATCAACAAGCATTTGTTAAATATCAATTATGTGGTTAGTACTGTTCTAGGCACTGGCCTCTTCTATTTTGGAGACATCTGTCACTACCTCTGTGGAATGACACATAATGCCTGAGTAAGCCCTAATACCTGAAATTATCTGACAGAGGCCCCATCACTATTAGTAGTTTCTTTTCTGAGTCAAAAAAATAAGAGGAATGTTGTGGAAATGGGATCTGGCTTGAGCTTTTTCTCTGAAAGGTTCATATAAGGAAGAACTTCCTAACAAAGCCTTTACAAAATGAATTGAACTTTCTCCTGAAGGAATGAGCTCCCTGTCCCTAGAAGTGTTCAAGCAGAAGATGGACAACCCTGTCAAGGATGCTGCAGATGTAACTCCTGCATAGAGTGACACATACAAGTAATAAGTCAGTGACAGAAATAGGACTTGAATCCAGGACACCAGACTCCAAATCCAGTGATCTTTCACTGAACCAGGTTGCCATGATTCTTAGGAGAAAGGAGATATGAGTTTATGTCCTGGCTTTGTGCCTGACTTGGTCACCTTGATCAAGTTTCTAAAATATCTTTCAATACTGACATTCTAAGAGTCACCAATATCCCTCTCTGAAAAACGAAGGGTTGAATCTGAACAAACTTTTAGCTCTGACATAATATATGCTATGTTCTAAGATCCCTTTCAGTTCTATGGCTCTATAATTCTGTTGCTGTATTTTTTTTAATAGATTGCTCCTTAGACACTTAAACTTATCAGAAGCGCCCTTATGGGGCCAAAATCCACGGCCCCTGCGGCTGTCCCCTGAGTGAGATGCCAAAGGTCATTTTGGGGTAGACCAGATATGTATTCTGGTTGCCAAAAAGCGTTTTTCTTTGTTTAGGGCAGGGCCTGGCTATGCTGCCCTGATCCCCAGGATGCATCAGACTAATCTACCCCAGTTTAAAGCCAGGGACATAGTCAAACACTCTCAGCTCCCTCTGGGGACCTACCACAGTCTGTCAGCCTGAGATTCAAAGGACCATAGATTTAGAGCTGGAAGGGACCTCAGAGGACATCGAGTCTAATCCCTGCATTTTACAGGTAAGGAACTGCAAGCCCAGAGAGGCCATGTAACTTGCCCAGGGCCACACAGCTATTAAGTGCCTGTGGAGGGATGCAAACCCAGGGCCTCCTGACTCCAAATGTAGCACACTATGTACTATATCCTTCTGTAATTCACTAAAGCTTAGCATCTAAGTCCCCACTGTCACCTCCCCACTGCCTACTGCAGCTGTTCAGGGAGGTTAGCTGTTTCCGGTAGCCCTTCTGTGCTTCTCAGAGGGAGGAAGGAAAAATTCATTTCCAGTATGTGTGTGTTGGAGGGAGAGAGAGAGGGGAGGTATAGGTATTGGGAGGAAGGCACTATTCTAGTTCTCAGAAAGGGCAGAACCAGTGGCTTTCCCAGTGAACAGGCTGGATCTTAGAGTTTGTATAGAAATGTTTATTCCAAGTCAAAAGCCAAGGCTACTCCCTAGAGCCTTCAGGAACATTTGTCAGAGGCTGCACTAAAAAACCTAGAGGCCTGACATAACATCTTGGAAATTGCCCAGCCTTTCTTTAATTAATCCTAGAATTCTAGAACCAGGACAGCCCACAAAGACCATTCACAAACCTCCCATCAGTTCTGTGGCATCCCTCACAGGATCACCCAGTCCCTGCTTAAATACTCCTTGTGAGTAGGTGCTCACTCCCTTAAGGGGCAGCCTGGATCATTTGGTAGCAGCTTTATTTGTTAGGATGTTCTTCCTTACATCAGCATTTATTGAAAGCTCCTCTTTGAGCAGAAGGAGGTTCAGAAGGGAACACAGACAAGCAGTGTATAATGGGGGGGCAACTTTAGAGTATAAGGCTAAATTCAATATACACTTTAAAGAAAACAAACTATATCTAATAGATCACAGTTCCACGTACAACTCACTTTTATTTGTACATTGAAATGTTCATCTTTGTGGGTATTTATTAAATTTATATAAGGCAACTAGGTAGATAGAGTGCTGGGCCTGGAGTCAGGAAGACTCATCTTTGTGAGTTCAAATCTGGACTCAGACAGACTAGCTGTGTAACCCTGGACAAGTCACTTAACCCTGTTTGCCTCAATTCCTCGTCTTAAAATGAGCTGGAGAAGGAAATGACAAACCGTTCCAGTATCTCTGCCAAGAAAACTTCAAATGAGGTCACAAAAAATCGGACAGCACTGAAATGACTAACAACAACAAATTAAATTCATAATGAAAGCAGAAAAATGGTTAAATGATACTAAAAAGAAGAAAAATTCTTCTCAGAGCAGTCTAATGTTATTTCTATAACATTCTTCACATTTTCTGCCTTAGGAGATCAAAATAAAAGCTAGTAGAAGTGGGGCCTCTACCAGCAAATCCCAAGCACCCTGCCTCCCTCTGCTTGGACATTAGGCGGCCCTCAGCAAAGCCAATGACAAATGAGGCTCTGGAGTAAAAAGAAGGGGGCGTGCCGAGACTGCTTAGAATCATTTGCATCCTATGTCAGACCCAGGAAGATGAGCAGGCTGGGAAATAATTGTTAATAATACTAGCTAGCAGTTCCATAGCACTTTAAGGTTTGCAAAGCACTTTTACATATATTTTTATATGTCTCATAAATTGTCTCATTCGATCCTCATAAACAACTCTAGAAATCAAGTGCTATCATTATCCCCGTTCTACAAAGAAAAACTGAAGCTGAGAGTAGGTAACCCGGGGACGTGGTAAAATACTCACAGCTCCCTCCAAGGACCTACCTAAACATCTCTGTCTGCCCGAGATTCATAAGATTTAGACCTGGAAGGGACCTCAGAGGCCATGAAGTCCAATCCCTTCACTTTGGAGGTGAGGGTACTGCAAGCCCAGGGATTCCAAGGGAGTTGCCCTGGGTCACCCGGTTAGGAAGGGTCTGAAGAAGAACTTGAACTTGGGTCTTCCTGACACTGAGTCCAACACTCTACCCATTGTGCTATTTAGCTGCCCTAAAGGGAGGGGAGGGACCAGTGGTGATGCCTCACACTGCTCTGATCTTTAAAGTGGAGAAAGTGAATTTGCTCCCACTGAAGTCATTGTCATCCCTAGAGAATTAAAGCTGGTGCTGGAACCTGGAGCCTTGGTCTGAACACGCACATGTATGTCTGCTGATACCCCTTTCATTCCTTCCTAATATGCTTCTTTCCTCTTGCAGGTCTGAGGATCAGGTTGTTCAACTTTTCTCTAAAGCTGCTCACCTGTCTCTTGTACATTGTACGAGTCCTTCTCGATGACCCAGTCCAGGGGATTGGATGGTGAGTTGTCGAGGCAACCATCTTGGTCTGCAAGAGATCCCCATTTTTGTAATGAGGATCCATTCTGGAAATTCTCTGGTTTGTATTAGGGATCTATTCATTTGTGATGTATCCCCTCAGGGGGATCTGCTAAGTTTGCGATCATAGGATCATAGATTTAGAGATAGAAGGGACCTTAGAAGTCATCAGGTCAAACTCCCTCATTTTACAGATGAGGAAATAGAGGTCCAAAGAAATAAAATTAATTGCCCAGGATCACAGTTATATTAACTGTATCTGAGAGGGGATTCAAACCCAGCTATTCCTAACTCCAGGTCCAGCACTCTCTCCATGACACCATAACTATCTCTCTAATAATGTTTGCTATGGAGATACACTAGTTTATAAAATAGGTAGATAGATCAGTAGATCAATAGACAGAGATATGTATATATAAATATAATTTATGAATTGGGATTGGAACTGATATATACACATATGTATATGTATGTATCCACATATGTATATATGTTGATAGATAAACAGAGAGATATACATATATGTATGTATAATTGTAATTGATGAATTGGGATTAAAACTATGTATGTATGTCTACATATATGTATATGTGTGAATAGATAAGCAGATAGATACACATACATTTTTATAAAAACACAATTCTAAACAAATATGTATATGTGTATATATATATATATATATATATCAGTTCCAATCCCAACTCACCATATATATATTATATATATATAATATATATATACACATACATATTTATGGGTATTGTATGTATATATGCATATACGTGATGGAGTATCTGGTGGGTCTGAGTGGTTTGTGGTTGGGGTGGTGACTTCCTAGGACACTATAACTTTATTAGTTGTTTGTCTTCTCCCATTCTTTCCCTCACCTCTGATTTTGAAACCCAATATCTCAGCCCTCCTTCCAGCAGCCAGACTTCAGACTGATGTCTCAGGTGCTATACCTCAGAGTGACACTCATCTCCTTCCTGCAGATGCTCTCAGACAGTGTATTTTTGCAGCTACAGCTGCTGATAGTGATTCTCCTAGGATTAGATTTGGGGATGGGTGGCAGGAACATTGTGTCATCTCCCAAAGCTGCACAGAAGTGCACATTCTAGTCCCAACTCATCCATTAATTTGACCTTGGGCAAGTCACTTGGCCTTTTTGGATTCAGTGTTCTCACCAGTAAATGGACAAAATAAAATCTACTTGTACCTACCCTCAAAGAATTTTGCAAGAACAAAATATTGTGTGCTGCTAGAGCTTTGAAAAGTTCAAACCACTCTAGAATTTTATTTTTATTGCTCTTTCCTTTTAGGAGAGACAGGATGGTATAGTAGATAGAAAGTTGGTCTGGGAGCCAGGAAGACCTAGGTTTGAGTCCCAACTCTCACACATATTGACTGTGAGACCCTGGATAAATCAGTGCTCTAGGTCTAAACCACTCTCTACAACTGTAAGTTGTAGTACCTGCATTGGTAGCAATTTCCTCAGCAGATATTTCCCTATACTAGTTAAATCCCATGTCCAGTCCCTTACACTACATTTTTAGAACAGCACTTTGATTGAGTTGCCTACGTCCAAATATTTATTGGGGAAGGGAGGAGGGAAAGAATTGCTTCTGATGAGGGTCTGCTCTCAGTCTGCGCCTGGAAGGGCTATATATCACAGCTACAAAAAATGCTAATGGCTCCCTATTGCCTGCAATGCCCTCCCTATTACCTCTGCCAGCTTGCTACTTTCTGAGCTCTTAAATGAGCCATTTCTTGAGCCTCTCCCCAATCCCAGGGGCCTGATGCTGAAAATTACCTTTGTATTCACTTTGTTTCTATTTTGTATCTAATTTTGTTGTATATAATTAATTATTTTGTTTCCCTGGATAAAATGTAAGCTGCTTGAGGCTGGGCATTATTTTGTTTTTGTCTGTCTTCTCACAGCACAGGCTGGTGGCCCAGTAGATGCTTAATAAATAAGGCTTAACAGATTCCCCCTGTAGGTCAAGGGTGCATGCTTCTATCTGACTGTAAGCGCATGGGTCTTTGGGCCAGAAATCTTCTTGGAGGGGAAGGTGGTAGAGGTTGGAGAAAAAAAGGGAGCAGAAGTCACAGCCTAGAAAAAAAGGTGGGTAATGATCCGGATCTATTATTGCTCTAGATCTGAATGGGGCCTCTGAGGCCATCTAGTCAAACCCCTTCATCTTACAGATGAGGAAACTGAGGCTCAAAGAAGCCAAGTAACTTGTCCAAGGTCACAATGGTAGTAAGCAAAGCGGGGGGACTTGAACCCAAATCCTCTGACTCCTGAGCAAGTATCTATGACATCTTTTCGTGTTTTCCAAGGGTGGTACTGGTGTGATGGAATAGGAGTCAGAATAACTGAATTTGAGTCCTTCTCAGCTACTGACCCACTGTGCAACCTTAGGCCAACCTCTTCCTCTGTCTAAGCCTCAATTTCCTTATCAATAAAACATTGATCTCTGAGTTCCTTTCTAGATTTTTAAAAATATTTTAATCTAATTCTATGAATGCATGATCATGAAAGATTTAATAATAATGGGATTCCATGAAATTTTCAGTGAAGAAAGATTATAGCTAAATGCAAACATTTTATGTTTAAATAATTTTACTATAAATTTAATTACTGCCAACAAAATATTAATAAAAAAGATAAGTGAAGCCATATGAGAAACCACAAACTCTAAATAATTTATTTTGTTGTAAGCATGTTGTAAAATTTCACAAAATTATCTTTTTTTGCATCTCTATGATGGCTTTTTCTTCTGAGTTTGTATATTTTGCCAGGGCTTTTTTATTTTTGTGAAATAATTATAATATAGTTAGCATTTATATAGAGCTTTGTTGCTTGCAAAGCACTTTACACATATTATCTACTTTGATACTCAAAACAACCCTATGAGATTGCTGCTGTTATCCTCATTTATAGACAAGGAAACTAAGGCTGGGAGAGGTTAAGTGTGACTCATTCAGGGTCATACAGCTAGTAAGTGTCTGAGACAAGATTTGAATTCAAGTTTTCCTGCCTCCAAGTCCAACATTCTATCCACTGTGACTCCTTTGTTACTCCTTTGAATGTTCTGGACTCTGCATAAGTTTCTTCACTTCATCTAAGTTTTTTTCCATATTTCTTTGCATACTTCAGCGCAGAATTTTTTTTTATCTCCTAAATACTCTTAACAAATGATTTTGATCTAGTTTGCTTCATTGTAATGGTCTCTCTCTTTTCTTCCATGGCTTTCCACAGCTGGGGCTGCCCCAAGCAGAACTATACTGTATTCAACCAGTCTTCACCAGAGATCAATTGGTAAGTTGATGATTAGTCTTGAAAGAACAATCCTACCCCTCCCCCCACCCCTGAAGAAAAGGGTGGAGGATGTCAAGCAATGAGCTTGTGTGTTAGAGAAAGTTGCCCAGATTTGAACCTAAGATTCCCTAATTATCACCAACTCTCTTGATGGGGAATGTGAAATTGTTCTAAATAAATGAACAAAATAATGTGGCAATTTACTTCGCTTGATTATGCATATTTGTTACAAAGATTTTGTTTTGTTTTGTTCTTCCAATGGGGAGAGGTAAGAGAGAAAAATAACAAGTGCTCGTTAACTGAAAAAATGTAAAATAAAATTGCAAAAATTCACAATAAATAAATAAATTGATAAAGCAAGCAATTAACTCATATTCAAGGATTTGTGGTTTTTTTTCAGTGTGGGTTCTCTCACTAACACAGATCATATCTCTCTGTGCCTTAGCTCATGTTCTTCCAGTATTGCTGCGGCCAAAAAAAAAAAGTCTCATCCTCAGTGATAAACGTAAACTCTTTCAGAGCTAGGACGAGTTCATCTTTTGTCTTAATATCCACCAGTGCCTGGTGTTCAATAAATGCTTGATGCCTGATTGGTTGATGACCCTCTCCCAACCTCAGTCAGGCTGACCTTCAGACAACTACTGTACAATCTGTTGGCTGCCCCATACTCAAACCCTTCCAGCTCAATAGGACCTTAGAACTGGCAAGAGCCTGCACCCTTCTGTAATAGCTTCTGGGAATCCAGCTTTACCTCTGGCACACAACAATACATCAAAGCCAAACTTTAATAGAATAATTAATTTAACTTGTGCTGCCTTATTATTAATGTTTTTCTCCTTTTTTCCATCAAGATCTTTTACCACCAAAACATAGGAATAAAAATCATGCAGGGATTTTATTCCTTGGGCCCTTAACTGAACTAACAGCCTCATCTTACATCAGACCCTCCGAAGGCTTTGTGAGATTACATGAAGTATAAATTCCAAAGTTAATTTCCAGTTTTAAAAAATACATATATGGTTTCATTCAGAAAGAGTTCCCATTCCCATGCCTATTCTTACCAAAACTTTAGAAATTCAGGAATACTTTTAATTAGATCACTGCAGTCAGGTTGAATTTCATGAGGAGAAAGTTTCATCTCAGAAACAAGTGGGCAGAATATGTGAGTAAATAACAATACATATAAAGGGGTATTGTCTATGGAGGTATTCTTGGAATCCCTAGGTGATGATTCTGCCAGGACTGCTGTTGCTGGGATGCTGATGTTTTGGCTTCAGTGCTTTCAAGGTCCAAATTTGTTAGCTAAGCAGTACTTAGAGAAGGGTCCAGTGCACACCGATCAATGGGATGACCAATCACAGCTCTAGAGGATAAAGCATGCCTCCCACCTCTTAACAGAGAGACACTGAATTAGAGTGGAAGCAGCAGACACACATTTTTATACTGGATCAATAAAACAAAATGTGTTCTACTTGATTGTACTTATTTGTTATAAAGGAAGACTTTGGTGCCAGGGGTTAGGGAAGAGAACTGGGGGTAAAGTGGAAGGGAGCAATTATGAAAGAAAAAAGAAAAGGAGGAAAAGAGCATCATTAAAACATTTCTTAAAATGCACAGAAGAGATTAGAAGGAAGTTTAAGAGGAGGTACAGAGAAGCAAGGCAATGCTGGTACTACCATGTTAAATTTAATATATAAAATCACATGTACTTAGTTTATGAAATAAGTTGTATTGGTTGATTCAAGGTTTCACATAAAGTCCTCTTTTCTAACCTCATTTCTGTATAGAAATGTTCATATTTTCTAGTCTGTAATTTTAAAATGCTTATTTAAAAAAAAAAAAAGTAGGTACATACTGTCATGGTTAGCTGCAAAAGAGCTGAGGAGAAAGAGAGAGAGGGGGTATTACACCAGTTCAAACAAAGCATTCCAAGCTGGAGCCTTCCAGCATCAAGGCTGAGTATCAGAGAGCCAAGCCCTCAAATTCACAAGCAGAGGCGGGGCCAGCAGGAGCTTTATGCCTCCACACCCACATTACTTCTCTCTCTCCCTCAGTCTTGTCCATTTCTCAGGTTAAACACCTGCCTCTTCTGTCATTTCTGCCCAACCAACTTATCTAGGCCATGCTGTCTTTGAAGCCATAAGAGAAATGTTCCCATCACCATGGCCATTGGATAACTGATTTAGGGCTGAAAGGACCTTGGATGTTATCAAGTCCAACCCCCTGGTTTTATAAATGAAGAAACAGAAATCCACACAGTTTAAGAAATCTGTTTAAGATTACACTGAGAGTAAGTGATAAAGATGGGGTATGAATCCATATACTCTGACTCTAAAGCTCTTTCCACTTAACGCACTGCTACTGGGCAAAACATCACCCAGATGTGGAAGGTGGCACATGTTATCAGACTTGATCAATGAGTGAACTGATTTTGCAGAACTATTTTGCTCTCCCCTCCCCTCCCCTCCCCTCCTCACGTCTCCTCTCCTCTCCTCTCCTCTTTTCTCTCTCTCTCTCTCTCTCTCTCTCTCTCTCTCTCTCTCTCTCT